GCTGCCCACGAGTTTTCAAAACTATTGTTAGAAATTGGAGATGGCAAATACAAATCGTGGTTACCATCGAATTGATCGGTGGATTGAACCATTTTAGCACCAAAGAACATTCATATCAATGCCATTAATTTTCAAACTCGATCGATACTGTAAGGTGTACATATAAATCAATTGACAATGCTATAAAGCAATGAACTATGCGTTAAAATTTTTAAAATCATTGGAACCGGATGGTATGCAACCGCATTGTGTGAATCTAAAATTTGGTTCTTTGGATTTATTATTGCGAAATAATTTACCGCCAAGCCGGGTGTAATGGCACAAGATTGACACTGAAAAAAGAATTGCCAAATTTGATTAAAGATACGATTTAAATTATTTTTAAACAATTAATTTTTCAGTTGACAAAGGGAAGGTTTTGTGAGGCTTGGGAACGGGAACATGTCAAGAAAATTCAATTCCATTCAAATCTTTCGCAAGTGGTAACTGAAATAGTGCCGATAATAGGTGAATATAAATATACTTTACATTACTTTATTGAATAATTTACATTTGAATTAAAACAAAGTACAATATATTATGATTCCGACTTAGAACGTAACCGTTTCATTCGCCGCTCCCCATGATATGACGTCTCCGTCCTGTTCGTCATGACCCCAACCATTTTCCGCATCCACATCATTGCAGTTGGCAGTTAATGCAGCAGCAGCGAAACGGCTGTTTATACGTTCATTTGTCTCACAGCTACGAGTTTTTATTTCAATCACGGGTTCCATGTCTTTGAAGAAGTCAAACTCGCCTAACTCTGTCCCCTGGGTCACTGACTGTACTTGTATGTCCAGCGCATTCAGATCGTCGATAATCTTACGATCTGTTTGCAACAGTGCTTTGCTGGCTCCAAGAGATACATCTAATATGGCTATGCTATGCGAGGATAATAAGGCTTGGGTATTTCGAGTCGATGCACTGCTCTCTGTTACCAAATCTGTTGGAGTCTGCTCTTTCCGTCCGGTCTGTGTTGCGCGCTGCAGCACGTCTATAGTATCTGAATGAGACCAAGTCCCTTCCTCATCTAAGTTTACTAATGTTTTTTCGTTTCCTGCAACAGATATATTTGAGTCAGTCTCCGGATCGCTATTTTGACATACACCCAGGGATTTTTCATTTAAGTTTAAACCAATCTTCCTGTCTTCACCTCCGTCTGGGCTAGGGCGAAGCAACAAGAGGACATTATTTGTTGTTGGCAACGGACTCGAAGAAACCATGAAGTCGTCTCCCACGTCAAAAGATCTAGTGTCCATAAGGGGGCTTATGGACCGAGGTTCTGGCATAGTATTTTGGCTACGTGTGGAGACGGCTGCGTGTGGACGGCCGTCAGAAAAGCATCGGCTACGCTCTCCGCCCAAAACTTTGCTAGCTCCTAATATGGAAACCAAATCTGCCATGCACCTTAGTGTCTTAGCAACTAAAATGTCGTTCGTGTCGCTCATACCCAACTGTAATTGTGGAAGAACCTCACTCTGTAGTTGCTCGATCCCTAAAAGGCAAACGAAGTCCATAAAATAATCCAGGAGTATCAAACGGATCTGCGCATCGCGCAAACGGAACATCTTTAGTATGTGAGGCATTAAATATTGAACGTATGTATGCGGTGAAAACAGAGACACCGTAGTATTAACCGTAGATTTTGTACGGAGTATATGGGGAGTCACAAATTCCTGTGCAGCAGGATCGAGAAGTACCATTCTAGAAAGCAGGTCACAAGCTAGCTGCGAAGCCACAATTTCCTCGTCGAAGTATTGGAGGCGTTCAATCAAACTTCCAAAAAATGCGTGCCGCTCCTGCCCCGACTTAAGCGGTAACTCAAATAAAAAGGAATGTATGAGCACGAATTCATGATTGAAATACGGATGTAGAAGGACGACCGAAAATGGGGGTCTTAGCTTAGTATTTTGGTGTTTCAGGTGTGCGCCGCAGTACTCACGGAACTCGTGAGCATGGGGAGTGCTATTACTGTCGTCACTATTAGTTCCACTCCTTTCAAGAACTTTCTCACACAGCATGCCGAAGGCAAACTGTTCACAATTTTCTTCGCTGATGCTTGCATTTATAAAGGAATGGGCCAAGTCTATCAGCTGTTTGTCGACCTCTGTGGCCCTCCAAACATACTCGAAGCCAGCCAGGCGCCAGCTGCCTCTGTCCGTCACATAAATGGAATGTATGTTTATGTTCAAGTGCCTGGCCAGAGCCTTCTCAATTAAAAATATTAGGCCGCACAGTATCGTTCGCAATCCAAGGCAGATTTCAAGGTCGGTCAGATGGGTCAGAACATCATTTAGAGGCCGGACCCTCTCCGTGGCAAGATGCTTTTGCCCTGACTGGTCCCAAGTAGCTACATATTTCAAAATGTACGGGTGGCGGTAGACCATTAGGTTCTGGGGGGAAAACATTTAATGAGCAATGGTCTTCTTGTTTACTAAACATATACTTTAATTGCCCTTTCCATTGGACCCATGCCGCCGGCCCACACATGCCTCTTGACGAACACTTCGCCCTGGAATATCGAAAGAAGTTTTCTGCAGTCTTCATCAATGCATGCCGCCGGTGATTCTGCGTTATACATCTTCCAATAGTCATTAGCTTCTACAGCGTTTTTTTCAAGGATTAAGCCTTTCAATTTGCTTCCCTCGCTTCCCATTGCTTCCGTTGGTGTTTTACTACATCCCAGTGTGACCATGGCATTATTGGAAAATTATGCCAAATTAGCGTCAGTAATATAATAGCATTATAGCCTTTACACACAGACGCCTAAAATCGCTGTGGCAATTTTACGCTGATTCTTGTTCAAGCCTAGTCCTCAGATCGGCTAAGAGTTTCACTAGTAGAAAAATCTTAATCTTTGTAGTGTGACCGAAGTTTTCAAAGTTCACCCGCAATGCAAATGGCATGGTCTTACTGCCAAATTTAAAAAAGAAAAGACTGGTGGTGCACAAAAAAATCAAAATCAAAATAAATGAAATGTTCAACGAATGTTTTTATTTATGTAAATTATTAGTTTAAGGCTTCCTTCTCGTCCCACGGATGCTTCGACATTTTTCCCGCTCCATCTGTACTCCAGCTCCGAGTCCCAGTAGACATTTTGGACCTTGAGGAAGTGGGATCCGGATTGGGAACGGGGTTGATCCGCTGATACTGCAGGAAGTCGCCAAGCATCCTGGTAATGGCTGGTGATGGCTCCTCCAGATGTCCCTTAGCGGGCGACATTATTTCCTCCTCCCTAAAGAAGCCGGCGCGTCTCTTACCACCGCTTTAGCTGCCAAGTAGCTGGTGGAGGTGGAGTCCTCAATAGAGAGTTCGTCGGAGATCGAGCGATGTCTCATGTTCCCTCCCACTGGGATTCGCTAGTGGATCTCCTCCAGGTCTTCAACTATTCTGCGGAATTGCCCTGTTGTGGTATTGCTTCCTGTCCGTCAAGTCCCACAATAATGGGCAACAGTTTGGATTAGGCGTCCTTTTTAATCTGTACTAGCCTCCTTAAGGCGTTTTTGGGGTTTTTCTTCCATTTTTATTTTTTAAATTCCACACCGTTTCTGCACGAACACCGCCAAAGATTAAGTTTCTTATTCTTTGGGCAGCGGCTAACCGCGTTCAACGAAAGTTCACTCGCAAGATCTGGTATTTTTTCCGGGATTTCCTTAGCTCATCTGAGTACCGCGCTGAAAAACAGACCCGGCGAAAAGCGTTAGCTGCGTATTTGCCTCACGCTCACTCCTATGGTAAGCTCGCGGTTTTCGTCGATGTGAGTACTAGGCTTCACATAGAAAATCGCTGACGAAAAGCTGATCGGAAGGGCAAATTGAGTTTATCCGAAAGGAAAAAGTAAGACAACGCAAAACTAAATAAAATTTTAACGCTAGCATGTAGAATGCCTTTAGCGCCACGTGACGCGATTTTCATTCAGGCAAGCGTAATGAAGACACATAAGAATTTCCGCAAGATGGAAAGGTTCGGACCCTATCAAGAATTTGTAATAGCGTCTACACACAGAGATGCATTCACCACCTACCATCTGTTGAACGGATGGTCGATAAGGTTTTGCCGTTCCGAAAATTTCCTAGTTCCTCATCCAAATTCGACGAACTCTTTTATGCGATAGTTAGGCAATGTTCTTGACAGTGGAAATTGAAACATTCACTACAAAACGTAAACAATGATGACAGGGAAGAATCGAAAATGGAAGGCGCAGAAGCAACACGTTTGGTAAGATAAGCCAGATCAGCTGTTATCGGATGGCAGATCGTGGATAAGCTCTTTGGGAATCGGAGTTTCACATTTGTGCAATTCCCAACCGTTTTGAACGGATGGATTCAATAGGAAGGGGGTATTAGACCTTCCTAGCATCGGATTTTAAGCCTTTTAGTCAGTCTCGGCTTCCACTTTCATATTATTTATTAATTTTATATTACTTTTTGTTGAATATTAAGTTCAGCTGAAACTGAATTAAAGTGAGTGGTAGAAAATCATTGGTTAGGATGGTAGCTTATTCTTTTATTGATGTTCATTCGGGAGCTTTGGCTGGCCAAAAACTGTGGCTCCTACAGTTTTGATGCTAGAAAAAAAAGTTTGCCACGTCCACTTTAACGGCCACAAACTGCCCACAAACTTCAAAAAATCGTAAATATGAATATCTCGGAGACTATCAAAGATAGAGAATTGGGATTTCAGATTAAAATTTCGTAACATTGTACGCAGAGCAAGTTTGTTACGCGAATATGCCACGCCCATTCTAACGTCCACAAACCGTGCTTGCAAAAAATTTTATCTCAAATGTACTAGCCTCGTCAATACTTATCGATTGACCCAACAAAAAGTTTGCCACGCCCACTCTAACGCCCATAACACTTAAAACTGTCTACCGCCCACATAACCATATGTATATTGAGATCGCGGGTGGGTGCGCATTTCAATCTCGCATTGCTGCTTGCATATCTCAATTTCTCTTTGGTCCCTTTAGGTGAGTAACGGGCATCTGATAGTCGAGGTACTCGACTATAGCGTTTTTCCTTGTTTAATTGTAAATTTATCACCCCCGAGAGCCGTAATTGTCCTCGTCTATAAGAAAGGTTGCGAGTATAAGTTTATAGTGGTATAGGTTACAGCGCATATTACGTACCACCTCCTTTTCCACAGGAGCTCCTCAGGATTAGGTGACCCGACACGAGCGCATTGCGTGTGTCCCTTGTTGTGCGCCGTGTTTTTATGCGAGCCCTACAAATATATGAATGGTACAGTATATTTTTCCGGGGCGCCTGTAGCCTGTACCAGTGGGGAACGCATTCTCCGCTGTGCTGGATTTGCCCAGGACTCCGCAAGGCCGTTTGCACGTAAAGCTGGAACGGGAGCTTGGCCTCAATGCGGCCACCTTCCGCGAGTGGACTTTGAGGACACTGGCGTTGCTGCGGACCAACCGCTGCAAGTGGAGGACCGCGTGGTCCGGTTTCAAACATCGGAAGTGGATTCTGCTGTCAAGTCGGCCACTAACGTCGTTTTGGACCAGGCAGCTAAGAAGCACCGTAAGGCCCAGGAGTCCTGCATCAGCCTGGCTTCCTAGGAATTATGAAGCTGATGAACGTGGTGCAACGGCCTTCTGATCAGCGGCTACTGCTTCCACAGGGAATTTTTTTCGGGGCGGTATAAGCAGTGGTCGGAGTCGACCTTCCTAGCATACGAGTTTTAAGACATTTAGTCGGTCCCGGTTTCCACTTTCGCATTACTTCTTCATTTTACATTATTTTTTGTTGAATATTGTAACGACCTGCAAATTGCCCAATAATTACAAACCAACTGCACGCAATTACTAAGATATACAAACAATATTTCTTATTTCTTCGGTGCGCACTTTACAAGTGTATATAAACGACTGACTCAATGAGCGCCAGTATGCTCTCCGCTCTCAGCAACGCTCGTAGTGACAGGCTGCCACATCCCTCCAATATTTTTCAGCTTCAGCTTCAAGTTCTGCTGCGCATCTGAAGGCGGCTCGGGAATTGATTCGGCTTGCGGTAGCGGTGGTGGCAGTATTCCAAGTGAGGCACCATTTCCTTGCTCGCTGCCATCCAACTGTTGAGAAGATTCGATGCCCAAACTAGAACCCCTGACATCTTTTTAACATGACTTATGTTTCTCAAATACGTTTTACCTCCTCCCGATATCTTTACTACGCTTCCATCTATCTGAATTACCTCATAGACTGTTGTATCAAAATTAGGAGTTAACTTGCTAGGAAAAGTTACGTTCTTTAGTACTAATTTATCTCCCAGTTGTATTTTAGATTCCGTGGCTCTTCTAGTTTTGTCTGCCACCTCTTTTCCTTTTTCCTTATTAATGAAATCTCTGTCTCTCTCTTCAGATTCTCCCACTTCCCCTACTATATCCTGAACTCCCGGAATCTTGTCTCTAATTGTGCGATTGAACATAAGCTCGGATGGTGGCGAGCCCGTAGTACCATGGGGAGTAACATTGTACATTAATATGAATTTTTGAATCTCATGTCTATAATTTTTATCATTCACATGTGCTATTTTCAACAGCTTTACTAACGATCTATTCATATTTTCTACCTCGCCATTAGCTTGAGGCCAATATGGAGGGGTTGTAATAAGGTCAATTCCATTCGTCTCACAATATTTTTTAAACTCTACACTGACATATTGTCCGCCATTGTCTGTTCTTAACTTTTTTGGATACCCCAATCTACTAAAAAATAACAGTCACGACAATCCTTGACAAATTTTTCTGCATCCCTGTCAATTTTTGGCCACCATACTTTTGATCTCAGTCGCCTTTTCATTGCTGCTTCTCCAGGGTGTCCCTCATGAGCTAGTGTTAAAACTCTCTGTCGTAGTTTTTGGGGAATGATCAGACGGCTTCCTCTTAATAGAATACTACCAATACTCGACAGCTCCAGGCGAAACGAATAATATGGGCTAGTTGCTGTAGAATTCCAGCAGTCATTGTGCAGGCATGGTATAGCATCTAGTACTTCCTCGTCTCTTGTACTCATTTCGGAAATCTCAGATATATTTAAAGATGTGGGAGTAGAAATTGAAATCATATGGAATATGTTTTCCTCTCCACCCCAATCAAATGATTTAGTACTTGAAATGTCACATAAGCGTGAGATCGAGTCAGCAATATTTTCCTTCCCAGACTTATATATCACCTGGAAACGGTATGCCTGTAAACGTAATAACCACCTCTCAATTCTAGCTGGAGGCTTAGAAGTTGGTTTAAAAATCGCTTCCAATGGCTTATGGTCAGTTACCAACTCGAATTCCAGACCAGCAACATAGTAATGAAATTTTTCAACGCTCCATACCAATGCCAAACTTTCCTTTTCAGAAAGGCTCTTACTTGCAAACGATATGATAAATGGATTATTTTCGACATCAAACTGTATTAAGACCGCTCCCAGCGCTACAGGACTAGCATCAGCTATTACACGAGTTTTTAATTTCACGTTAAAATATGCCAACTCCGAAACTCGTGAAACTCCAATTTTCAATTTGTCGAATGCTTGCTGTTCTTGTTGGTTCCACAAAAACTTCTCATCCGCTTTGAGTAACTTTCTCAACGGTTCTGTTGTATCTGCCAAATCTGGCAAGAACCTTCCCACGTACGTGACCAGGCCTAAAAAACTACGAAGTTCCTCTTTGTTCTTTGGTGGCCTGAATGCTGTAATTACTTGTACTTTCTCTGGATCAGCAGAAATGCCTGTGTCAGATAATATATGCCCGAGGAACTTAAGTCGCTGTGTTTTTCATACGCATTTATCTTTGTTGAGAAATATATTGTTTTCCTTGAAAATAACTTTTACCATCTCCAGCATTTTGTCGTGTTCCTCCAATGAACTTCCGAAGACAATTACATCATCTATATAGTTTAATGCCTTCGGGCATTTCGCTAATCGTTCCTCCAGCAGTTTTTGAAATATCTCAGGTGCTGAGTTAACACCGCAGAGTAGACGCTTGTATCTATACAATCCTTGTGGTGTTATAAATGCAGTAATTTCTCGGCTATTTGGATGCAATTCCAATTGTTGATACGCACTCTTCAAATCCAGTCGAGAAAAATACTTAGCGTCCTTCAGCTTCGTTAAAAACGACTCGAATGTTGGTAATGGGTAATTTTCCCGTTGAATTGCTTTATTCGCTTGACGCATATCAATGCACAGCCTTATATTCCCATCACCTTTGAATGCGATAACTATTGGAGAAATCCATTCACTTGGTCCGTGTACTGGCTCTATATATCTTGAGATAAAGCCGATTCTAGCTCTTCTTTTACCTTGTCCTCAATGGCGGCTGGGATGCGTCGCATTGGTTGCTTGACGGGCCTCACATGTAGATCTATTGACAGCCGAATAGATACATTATTTCACTTTGGAAAAGGTTCCAACTTTTCGACTCTATTTATAGCTATGCCCAGTCTCAACACGTTGAGTTTTATGGCTGTTTCGCGACCAAGCAACGATTGCCTACCCTTTTTTATGACATAAAAGGTTGCAATAGACTCAGCATTCCCTCCAACTGCAATCGGTGCTTCAAACACACATGAAATCTGTAACAACTGATCCGCAGCATATGCCCGAAATTGATTTGTCGACTCAGTTCGCAGATTTAATATAGCAGCGCATTTTTCTTGTAGGTAATTCGAATCATCTTGACTTAATAAGTTATATTTGGATCCGGAATCGATGACCATGCTAATTGGTAAGCCACCAACTCGGCAGGAAATGACTTCGCCCATGTCACAATCATTCGCAACTCGGAAACAGGGATTGTGAAATTGTTGGCCACCACTCACTGCTCGGACCGGTGCTTCATCTACATAGCGCCGCTTTGTACCTCCTCGATGATTTCCGCTGGATCTCTTCACAGTAGTCCGACATCTCTTAGCAAAGTGCCCGACTTTGGAACATCTGTTACACTCCGCATTTTTCGCTGGACAAAGCAAACTATTTGAATCATGATCATATCGGCCACATCTGCCGCACTCTACTTTGGTGTTGTTCCATTTAGCCGTGCGCGATGCAATCTTATTGACCATAGAGCCTGAGCATCCAGTTGATGACATTGATGACATTGATTGCGTCTGCTTGCTCACCTGTTCCTCAATAAGACAAGCAGATATGACTCCCTCCAAGGACTGTTCAGTTGACAGCAACTTTTTCTTCAGCTCAGCCGGTGCCCAAGAATCAACTAGTTTATCCTTGAGATAGATCTCTTCTATTTCTGTTTTGGAAGTGCCAAAATTACACTTCCTCACCTGCTGACGCAATCGCATAAGAAACTCGGTGAAACATTCTCCATCCCGCGGTGTCATGCCACGGTACAAATGACGCTCAAATACCGAATTGCGTATCGGCGAAAAATATTCATTTAATTTTTCCACCAAAGGTGTGAAGACAGCGTTCTGCTCCTCTGTAATATAAGGGACCATCGCTCCTGGCAAGTTATAAACAATAGACTGCAGTTGTGAGCCTCCCAAATGCAGAAGTTTATTGCTCTTTTTAAGAGTTGAGCTGATCTCTTCGCTGTCCGCATATATGTTGAATGCGCGTAACCAGACCTCCCATTCGGAGCGCCAGAGTGATTTGTCTATGCTATTGCATAGAAATGGCTTAAGTTCGGCCATTACTTTGTTTTATTTTTCCTTTTTCTTCTTATTCGATTCTCAATGTAACTTTGCGACCACGCTACTTTGAAAAACAAGTTTAGAGTGACCAACTATTACAAAGGCCGTAATAACGCGCATTTTTTTTTAGTATTTTCCTAGGCTGTATCGAAACGGCCTCCATTAGGCTACATTTAAGTGGCCATTCATACTATTTTTTTTTATATTCATTTTATCTTATTTTCTTATTTTCGTAGGCTGTATCGAAACGGCCTCCATTAGGCTACATTTAAGTGGCCACTCATTTTTTTTTTATATTCATTTTATCTTATTTTCTTATTTTCGTAGGCTGTATTAAAACTGCCACAATTAGGCTACACTTAAGTAGCCACATTTTTTTTTTTTTTAGTATTTCTTAGTCTACATTTAAGTGGCCACACCATTTTTTCCGTTTTTTTTTTTTACCATGTATGTACATATGTACCAAAATAACACACATATAGCCGAAACGAATTTTATTCTTTATCGGTATTTTTCTATTTTTTTTCGGTTTTTTCTCTCGTCGCCAATGTAATGACCAGCAAATTGCCCAATAATTACAAACCAACTGCACGCAATTACTAAGATATACAAACCATATTTATTATTTCTTCGGTGCGATCCGCACTTTACAAGTGTACAAGGGTGGTCAAAAGTATTTTCACAAAACCAATCCTTTTGCTTATATTTTTTATGATTTTTTGAAAATGCTTAGAAACATGCATTTTAGGCATATTTTTCTCTTTTTCATACAAATTTTTTCCGACAGTGTCACCTTTAAAAAACCATAAAAAATATAAGCAAAACGATTTTTGAAATTATTTTTGTTTGAAGAAACTTTTTGCATCAAAAAATTTAAGTTTTCAAGTTGAGAAAAAAAGTTCAAAAAGGACATTTTCACACAAATTCGTCCTTTTCAATAAGTACTGAATGTGTTAAGAAATGTATTGTATCATTCAAACGGCATTTAAATTACCTTTCCATTGATGCTAAAGTTAACAAGATGTAAGTTCAAATTATGAATATATTTAACTTTTTTTTTGTGAAAATACTTTTGACCACCCTTGTATATAAACGACTGACTCAGTGAGCGCCAGTATGCTCTCCGCTCTCAGCAACGCTCGTAGTGACAGGCTGCCACAAATATTAAGTTGGAACCGGCTGGAAGTAAACCGATATTGGGACAGACGGATTATCGATAGCGTAGGCATAGAAAACCATTGGTTAGGATGGTAGCTTATTCTTTTATTGATGTGTAATAACTGTAGGGGAACCGGGGTGTTCATTCGGGAGCTTCACGATGTATGCAACGTAGTTTCGCCGTACCTACGAGCCGCGATTTGGCTGCATGCAAACGGTGTCCATTCGGCCCGCTCAGAAGTCCTTCAACCAGCTATAATCGCATTCCCACCATTCAACATTCCCCGGTGATTATTCGAGGGAAAACATTTTTCGCGGAAATAGATTGTTCTCATCAACACCTATCGATTCTCGGCTGAGGAACTTGTGAGACGGTTCCAAAGTCGCCTAGTTGGGGCATCTGAGCGGGTCGCAGGTTGCGGATAGCATACGACCTCTCTCGAGGCCAACTGAGAATAAGCTGGTGGGAGAAGTCAAACACGGAATCGTGGACGGAAACTCCAGTAAATAAACAGTCCCGGACAGCCATATTGTCCCATATTGCAACAAAGCAATACCGACGATGCGAATTGTTCAGCCGCATCTAAATAGTTGCTTTACACAAACCCACTCCCAACACAACACCTACCCAACTCCCCTCCCAAAACAACATCTCACTTCGGGCCGAAATACTATGTAATACGGACTGTGGCAAGAGTCAGCCTGGCTGGGGGCCCGGATCAAAAACTAGCCCAGTCTCAAACGGTGTGTTCAGGGACATGGCGACCCCCTGTTCTAACTATCGCCTTACCCGGGACTTTTCCACTTCTCCAATACTCGTGGGAATTATCATGGAATCGAAAGAAGTTATAAAAATAATTTTCCATTGAGGGTCCAAAAGTGTGGGAACGAGTTAGTAGTGTAACTTGATTAGTTCTGGATGTTTAGTCTAGACTTTGAGCGCACCTGCAATTAGATACAGGCTGGTGGGAGGACTAAGGTTGTCTGAAGGGTTGATTTTGGGGTGGTGTATGTGTGTGTGGGTGCGTGGACATTTACATAGAGTTATGTGGCGCTTGGATATGCCACTATATTTATTTAATTATTGTTTATTGTTTGTGGTAGGCAATTTTTGGCGTGTTTAGTTTTGCTTTCATAGGCGTTAGGTGTGAGGTTCATTTTTGTAAAACATCCCAAAAGATAGCGAAGTAGGTAACAAGCACGGGTATGGGCTTCGTTCGATGGTTCCTTCAGTCGGGGAAGACGATGCTTTGTGGTCCCTGGAAGACGATGGCGCTGCCGGGTCTGGGCCACCACGGATACCGGTGGGTTTGCCCAGGACTCCGGAAGGCCCCTTGCACGAAAAGGTAGAACGGGAGTTTGGCGTCAATGCGGACCCTCCTCCGCGTGTTTACTGGCACTGCTGCGAAACAACTGCTGCCAACGGAGGACCGCGAGGTCCGGTTTCAAACACCGGAAGTGGGTTCTGCTGTCAAGTCGGCCGCTAACTTCGTTTTGGCCCAGACAGCTAAAAAGCACCGTAAGGCCCAGGAGTCCTGCATCAGCCTGGCTTCCTGGGAATTATGAAGCTGGTGAACGAGGTGCAACGGCCTTCTAATCAGCGGCTACTGCTTCCACAGGGAATTTTTTTCGGAGCGATATAAGCAGTGGTCGGAGTCGACCTTCCTAGCATACGAATTACAAGCTTTTTAGTCGGTCCCGGTTTCCACTTTCACATTATTTCTTCACTTTACATTATTTTTTGTTGAATATTAAGTTGGAACCGCCTGGAAGTAAACCGATATTGGGACAGACGGACTATCGATAGCGTAGGCATAGAAAACCATTGGTTAGTGTGGTAGCTTATTCTTTTATTGATGTGTAATAACTTTAGGGAAACCGGGATGTTCATTCCGGAGCTTCACGAGCCTTACCTACGCGCCGCGATTTGGCTGCATGCAACCGGTGTCCTTTCGGCCTGCTTAGAAGTTCTTCAACCAGCTATAACAGTACTTTCGTGGACCTTATTTGACGCTTACATGCTTACATTCATTACTATGTACAGTTCCTTTTTATACCCGTTACTCGTAGAGTAAAAGGGTATACTAGATTCGTCGGAAAGTGTGTAACAGGCAGGAGAAAGCGTTTCCGACCCCATAAGTATATATATTCTTGATCAGGATCACTAGCTGAGTCAATTTAGCCATGTCCGTCTGTCCGTATGACCGCTGAGATTTCGGAAACTATAAGAGCTAGGCTTTTGGAACTTGGCGTGCAGATTCCCAAGCTGCTTGCGCTGCGCAAGTTTGTTTCAGTAGAGTGCCACTCCGGGCCGAACTACGGTGTAATACGGACCGTGCCAAGAGTCAGCCTGGCTGGGGGCCCGGATCAAAAACTAGCCCATTCTCGAACGGTGTGTTCAGGGACATGGCGACCCCCTGTTCTAACTATCGCCTTACCCGGGACTTTTCCCCTTCTCCAAAACTCTTGGGGTTTATCATGGAATCGAAAGAAGTTATAAAAAAACAAAACCAAAACCAAAAGAGACGGGAACTCCCAAAAAACACTCGGATAAGCTGAACACTGGCTCCAACATCCGCACCAGCACGGTCCCGAAAGGGCCGCATCCCAAACTGGGGGTGCCGGGTGGCAGAAAGCCAGCCGTGAACGCCTCCGCCACAGGCGCTTCTTCTCCTAAAGCAGCGGTAGGCACTGCCAAGGCGCTCGGGCCTCCCGCTGGCGCCAATAAATATACTTACGCAGAAGGGCGGACTGCCGCCCAGACTCTGCGCTCTCATACTAGGAGCGACATTGCCACACCTTCGCCTGAATGGCTAAAGAAGGTAGAATGGGCAAGGAAGGTGCTTCCTAACTACGGGCAGGATAAGCCCACCAAAGAAGGGGCTCAGGCGAAAAGGCAGCGATCCCTCGAAGTACCCGGACCATCGGCGAAGAGGTCTAAATTCCAGCCATCGGTCTCTTTTGCCGAAATTACGAAGGGCCGAGTCTTACTCGGTCTCATAGACAAAGGCAATCCGGATTCCCAGGATTCCCACGAACAAGTGGAAGGCAGTGGAGTCCCACCTTTTCCTCATTTGCCTGCGCATGGTGCGGGAGAAGCCAGGCACATCGCCCAGCTGCATGGACGCGGGCTGGTACCAGGGCAGCGTCAAGGTGGTGGCCTGCGACAGTCAGCGGCTGACCTGTACAAACAGGCGACGAGCAAGGTCGGTAAGGGGCGAACATTGTTGCACTAGACTGGTGTGATGTCCCCAGTAGGTTCCGAGCTCGGATTTGACTCCCAGCAGCGATCAAGGCGCCGGAGGACATCCTCTTCATGTTGCAAGAGTGCATTCCGCACCTTCCCACGAAGGACTGGAAAGTCGTCAAGGTGGAGGAGCATGTAGGGGATGTCAACCAGGCGGTGTTGGTCCTAAACAAGGAGTCAGTTGCTGCAATCGAGACTGCTCGAGGAGTGCTGAGCTTCGAGTTTAGTGCGATCCACATTAAGGTGTACAAGAGGGACTCGAACGCCGCTAGCAGCTCTGCCGACAACCCAGACGAGCAGGTGCTCGCAGAGGAGTTGGAGGCACCTGGTGGGCCGTAGCACGGCTACTGTACTGATTCGTCGCTGAGCAGAGAGATGCGAGCGCTCGGACCGGCTATCGAGGACGTGGACCTCAGCGACACAGAGGAGGCCGACGTCACTGTGGTGTAGGTTTCAGCTGTAGATATCACTAAGACTTCTACAAATAATCCTTCACCACAGTAAAGCAGCGTCTGCTGCACTTCTGCTTTGCCTGACCGAAGGCGGAGCCGACCTATTCCTTGTACAGGAACCTTGGGTAGTAGGAGGCAAGGTTGCTTGACTAGGAACAAAGGAATACAAGCTTATACTTGACCCCAAAGAAGGTAAAATTCGAACCTGCATATTAGCCAAAAGGCATCTTAGTATATTTCTGCTTCGCAATTACAGCAAAGGAGACAACACCGCAGTAAGCCTGGAGCTGCAAAGTGGCTTTATAAGGGTCCTATCGGCCTACTTGGCCTTTGAAAACGAAAACCCCCAGATGCGCTGGTCAGAGGACTGGCAGAGGAATGCGAAAAGCTCAGGAAAGGTTTTGTAATATGCTCTGACGGCAACACCCATCACACCCAGTGGAGTTGCCCAAGTAAAAACGACAGAGGTAAGTCT